ACACAACAGTTTTCGATGATCACAGCACCAATATTCCCTGCTGATCTCCCTCACAGCTGCTTAGAGCTGCAGGAGTTTAAATCCAGCAACATCCCCGGGTCTCCGTTTCAATAAGAGCCTCTAGTCGGAGAACCCCGGTAAATAAACGACTTTTTCCCCTTTTAAACCATTGAGGGCACAACTCCTCTTCCAACTTCTCCCCTCCTCCACGCTGCTGATCGACATTSGCTCTGTTTCAAACAATTATTTTTCAATCGGATCGTGGAGAGATTTAAAGCAATTGCCCCAAACCTCGTGAAATAACGGGATGTCTCGCCTCGGCATCAAACTATCCCGATTCTCTAAAGTCCTGGGTACAGCCCTCTGCTCCCTCCCCTTTCCCCCTGCCAGCGATTGGGGGCTCAGCCCTGACTGAGGGAATGAGGGAATGAGGGAATGAGGKGAGGGGGATTCCGGCGCCGCTTCATTTTCCTCCCTCCCTCCGGCCAGCGCCAATTGCAGGTGTTTTTTTAAGGAAAGCGCTGCCTTTTAAAGAAATCTCAGGGCTTTCCTGCTTCCGGAGGTGACCATCAAAAATACAAAACCAAAACCCCCCAAAACCGAAAAAATAACACAAACAAACAAACAAAAAAAATAAAAATAAATAAAAACCCAGGCAAATGTTTCACCAAGCGTGTGACGGTCTGAAGATGCCCCCGCACCTCGGCTCGGCCCGGGGCKGGCTGCCCGGCAATAGGAAGCCGCCGGCCCCGCTTCCCTCGTGTTTCTCCCCGCCAAAAAGGCAGGGACAGGCTCAGACCCGTACGGTACTGCAGGTAGAGAGACAGGAAAAAGCCATCATACCTCCCCCATTCTTAAAGGCCAGGTACGGGAACCTCCAGACATTGCCCAGCCCCACTGCATAACCCACCATGGAGAGGATGAAATCCAGCTTGCTAGACCAGTTCCCTCGGGCTTTATTTTCATCCCCCACATCGTCTTCCTGAAAGTGGGGAAAAAGCAGGAGAAGGGAGGAAGAGAGAGACATGGGAAACCAGCCACTTCAGGTGGTTCAGCTTTCTTCAAACATCGCGGCGGTGCTGCCGGCTCCACCGGAGGGAGACCCGGTGAGCACCGGCCGGACCGGGGGACCCTCCCGGCCCCCTCCCCTGCAGCCCCCGCCGCTGTTAGGCCTCTGTTTTATCCAAAAAAAGCCCACAAAATAGGCGTTTCAATCACGGCCGGCTCCTGAAGCCCCGTTCCGAGGGCAGTCACATCGCTTCCCCGGGGATTGAAGCCCTTGGCGCCGTCGGACGGGCACATCCCAGCACATCCAGGAGAGGTAAAAACCCCCTTTAGCGAGCCACCACCACCCTCTGTCAGGGTAAATGCACATAGGACGGGGTGAGCGTCTGGAATTACCGACTGGAATTACACAGGATGCTCGTTTGCACCAAGAGTGCGGTACAGCACCGCGTTTAAGATCCTCTTTCCCCTTCTTCCTTCCCTCCCCCCCGCCGCACAGCCCCATCCCCGACTCATCCCCACCGGATTGTGGAWCTTCCACCCCAAATCGGTGCTGAGYGGCAAAGACCTCCAAGAAAACCCGTAAGGAGACAACTCACCCCCTCGAYTCTGCCGGGAAGAACAGAAGTGTTGCCATCGGTGCCCAGCACCACGGTGCTCTGGCTCAAGGTCACCCAGGCGTTGTTTTGCTCCAGCGTGCTCTTCCCGAGGCTCAGAGAAGCGTCCCCGTCCGTGCTGTGCAAAGCGGGAATTTTGCAGTGAGGGATAGCAGCTTGCCCGGCGATCCCTGCCCCGGGGCCAGGCTTGCAGGGAAAGGTTTCCACAGATTCCCTCCGGAGGGTGGAGTTGSTTTGCGCCGGGGTGCTGCTGAGCTTGCAGATCCCGACTTTGGTCCTCTCGAGGTCGTTTGGTTTCGTTTCTTCGGAGGGGAGAGTTTTGCTGTCGTTGGAGAGGGAGCGGGGGAGCCTGGCCGTGGCTGCGGGGGTTTGCGGAGGGGCATTTTGCGGCTCATTTTCGGGGCTGGCTCTTACAACTCCCGCACCTTCGTTGGGTCCGGGAGCCACCGCTTCGGGGTTGTTCACGAGCTGCTTGCTCATATCCCTCTGACTGGCGTAATCCTAAAATGAGAACGTCACATATTTTACCAAAAGAAGAAGAAGAAGAAGAAAAAAAAAAAACGTGTTGGCACTGCGGAGGTTCCACGAATTTTGGTCCTCGTGCGGGAAACGCATGCGCCGGAAAATCGGGATACGGGAGCGTTGCAGAATTTCGAGGAGCCACGGCTCGTCTGCTTGCCCTCCCATTCAGCSTTAATACTCTGGGGGAAAAACGAGTACGGTACACAAAAAAAAAACCCTCCAACACTACCCACCCTCCCCCCCGGCCCAAAAAAAGAAACCCAAACAACAAACCTCAAACAAAAAACACCACCAGCATCTGCAAAGCCGTAATTCAAGTTTAAATAAGTGTTTCTACAGCACTGCGCCGCCAAGACCTCGTTAGATTTCACATCACGACTGTAGGATGCTCCTTTCCCTATCACCAGTGTAGAAAGATTCTTTAATTTTACGCCCCATTTCCTTTCTGTCATTCAACAATGCACATCGACTTTTTTTTTTAATATATATGAGCAAGAGACAAGCTGCCCAGTAGGCAGCCGGGGATGTTAAAAAACAAGTGAAATAATGCTGGTGAACATTTCTGAGCTGGCTACCACGCTTCAAATCCCGTCAGCAAGACATTGAAATAAAAAATAAAAAAAAAATAAAAAAAAAAAAACAAAACAAACACCAAACCCCAAAACGTAACCGCACTGCCACAGCGGGATAAGCGCCACTAACAGTAGCTTTTCCCTATTCTTCTTCTTATGTTTCCGACTCACATTATGCTAAAAAAAATATTTAACCATTCCCTAATCATTGAATAGATTACTGGCGACACTCGCACACTCACCTCTGTCTTTCCCTCCAGTTTAAAACTACAATTTAAAATGCAATTTCTTTTGATATATTAAGCACCCTGCAGRCAAGCCCTACCTTTTCCATCCGTTCAATGTTAGCTTTACAAATACACTTCCTTTTTTCGGAGCGTTCCACAAAACTCCCCGTCTCCATTTCCGCCACAAGTTTTCTCTCCACGGTAATCCCCCTCTCCCGACACCAGGGGTGAGATCGGCACGGGCTCTGTCGCTAAATGAGCGCATTTTGGGGTTCCTCAGCGTTCCCCGTGCTCCCCCTCCCCCGCAGCATCCCTACCGCGTCCGCGGGATGCTCCGCGCTGGTTCCGCTGGCAGCACCGCGGACAGCTCCCCGCTCCGCTCCTCCAGCCCTTCCCGGGATCGCAGAGGAGAAACCCAACACTTACCATGCCTTAAATAGCCACAGATGGAGCCGATAGAGGTAAAAACAGCACTACGGGCGCTGGACGGACTGGATTTTGCCCAGTTGAGAGCAAAGCTTTCTATAGTTCCTTGGGAAAGCCTGGGTTTGCGTCAGTGCTTAGCAAGGTGCCCTTGGTGTGACATTTTCTTGATAATAAGAGGTTGATAAATCATTAGCCTTGGTTTCAGGTTTTAAAGGGGCACCGAGGAGCCGGAGCGGCGGCTGCTGTCACTCAGGCGGCAGCGGCATTGCGTGCTCCTGTGACTCATGTGGGGGCTGACTGCGAAACCACAGCCACCCCGAGCACCGAGCAACTTTCCTGCTGGTRATTAGGGGGAACATGTGAGAAACACGTACTGCTGCACCCGAGGCAGGAGAGAAACGGGGGCAAACCTTCCATTTCTACTCCTCTTCCTCCTCCCTCTTAGTGCAGCTGCCTTCTYTTTAATCTACATTTCTGCAGTGCACAGATCAGATGTTGGAATAGCTTGTTTATTTACATTGTCATTTTATACGTGGATATAAAAATAAAAATATGAAAACTATCAATTTTGTATCTAGCCACACACCTATACACGGAGTGAGAAGTTCACTATGTATAAAGTATACAAATACATTTAAATTGTGTCTTTCTCGGTCTCGTTGCACCAAATTGTATYATGTTTTCTATTTTTACTGTGCCTCTTGGGGAAACTCCAATTAAATTWAAACGATACACAAAATAAAGCAGTCTTCTCTTTTATCAAAACTGTCCAAAGAGCAGTTAAGTGGGAGCAAAGATGACTGCAACAGCCCTGAAATTGTTGGTGCTCTTCCCTCACCCATCAAGRCCTTTACGCTTGATTATTAGGGGGGAAATTATTCGTCATTAAAAGTCAGGTGTTAACTCAGAATCGTTTTTGAAACGAAGCAATTCACACCTAATCACCTCTTGTAGGTGTGATTTGCTACTTGAGGGGCTTTCGCAAAGATTTGTTGGGCACGAGGTAATTTTGTTCACGCTGAAAAAAAAAAAAAAAAAAAAAAAAAAAAAAAAAAAAGAAAAGAAAAAGCGCATTGGGCAAATCGGGACGCTCCCTACGCAACCTTCCCAGTTGTTTCAGCGTCAGAGCCGCTGCTCATCCGCATAGACCCTGCTGGTGTCAGCTTCTCCGGAGAGTATTTCACATTTTAGCGTAAGCGGAGTGCAGCGTGCGCCTGTGCAGGGGAGGGGAGGAGGGGGCTGAGCTCGCCAGCAGCACACGCCTTTCTTCTGCGTCCTTGCTTTTAGGGGTTCCGAGCGTTTGTTTCAGAGCACGAAGCCAATGAAACCCGGAGCCACCCCCGGCAGGGCCAGGGCAGCTCTGTCGCGGTGGCCCCGGTCCCCTGCGCTGCCGCCGGGACTCGCTCGCCGCAATTATTGCCAGCCCCGAACGCCGGCGAGCTGCGGGCCAGCAAAGCAGAACGGCCAAAATCGGTTTTCGCCGGAAAAATCGCTCAGCCTGGCAGCTGAAAAGTGCTTTTGGCTGCCGGCAGCGCTCCGGAGCGCCTTTGGAAGGCGGATGTCCTTCGCGCGTCTCAAGCGCGCACCGCACCGCGGGTCTGCGGTCACAACACGCACATGGAGCTGTGTTTGCACACTCACACGCTGCCTGTAGATTGTTGTGTGTTTTCCCGTCCTCAAAGTCCCTTTTGTGCCTCTGTGCCATCGTGCAGAGCAGCAGCCTGGTCCAGCGGGAGGTGTCTCTCCCTCCCTGCCCATGGATGAACTTTCAGATCCCTCCCAAGCCAAGGCKTTCTGTGGTTCCGTGTGCTCCCCGCGGGTCTGATCCGGGATCACRGGAGCTGCCTTTAGGAGGGAGTGGGACAGGTTTTTTGCGGTTTGCAGCATTTCTTTCTCGAGGCTGCAGAGCGATCTGGTCTCAGCTCCAGTTTACACCAATCAATGCCTCCAAAGGCACCGGCCAAATTAAAAGCGACAAGGCAGTAGCCCAAGAGGTAATTTGATCGTGAAGACCCCTAAACGTCTTCTAGAGTCACTGGGTTGGTTTATTTTGTTTTCTCAAAAATCRGAAAACTCACTCTTCACGTTCTTTTCCAAGCCGTATTTTTGCTTTCTCCATCAGCACTGAAACGTGAAATCGAAGTTTCACCTGGAAATAGGGAATCGATCTCCTTTACTTTCCGAAAAGGCAGGAGCACCCCTATTTCCCCTGTACCCCGGGGAAAGCTCTCGGAGTGGCACGGCCGGAGGTTCTCGCTGAGCCCCGGAGCCGAGGATCCATTGTCGGTCGAGAGGGAGACCCGCGGAGGAGCACGGCTCTGTTTCCCAGCGTTTTCCCTTGTCCCCCCGTCCGTGGCCGGCCCTCGGTGCCCTACAGCCCATCTCCCTGCCTCCCCTGCCTCCTCACACGCGGTTTGGGGTGCAAACATCGGCCCTGGTCCGAGCTCCGAGTTTGGATTTACCGTTCCTTTCAMAACCAAACCAAATCCCTCCAACGCTGGGGTTTGGCGCCCCGGTTAACAGCCGTAAGGTTCATTAAATGGTTTTTCTGAGCTCTTTCTCACCGAACGCGAGCCAACCCCCCAGCYCGCTTCGGAATTAAGGAAAAGCACCTGTCTGCAGTCCCACCGAGCACAGCCCACCCCTCTCTCCCTCCCTCCCCGGGGGAAGTCACCCACCCTCGACGGGATCCTCCTAGGCCTGGCGGGATCCCAAAGGGAATAGCTGGGAGTGGGGGCGGCTCCTCCAGGGCGGGGGAGTCTCTGTTTTCCCAGAAGAAGGGCAGACACCCCCTCCSTTCCCCGAAGGAGCCCCTCGGGCCCCTGCGAGCGGTGCCTCCCCCGCGGGGGAAGGGCTGCCCGCCAGCCGATGCCCTCCGCGGCCCTTGGAGCGCACGAGCGAGCCTTAATTACTTTGTCAAAGATGAAAAATAGCAATTGATTTATTTTTTCTCCCCTCGCCGGCCATCCTTCCTCTTCCCCTGTCCCTTCTCTACAGATAAGCGCRCACACGAACGGAGGCGGCGGAGCTGAAGCCCCGGGAGAGGCTCCGGGGCTGTACCCGGCCCCGAGGGCTGGAAGGTGCCCGCTGCCTCATCACGGCCACTTTCCTGGCTTTGTGCCGCATTCGTGCCGTGCCTCAGCRGAGAAAAGCCAAGTCACGACAGGAACGAGCGATGTCACCTCCCCACAAACATCCCCAACACGCCCACGGGCACCCGCGCAGTTCCAACCCCCGCGCTAAAATCCCCCGTCCTGGATTCTCTGCGACGGAGTTAAGCATTGCAGCTGTTGATCTTAAAGCTTTCTCCTCCCTTCCCAGCGGAAAGTTTGCSCAAAAAGGGATGGASGCAGCCACAGCGAGGAGCTGAACCMTCTTTCCCGSTGCCTTGGCCACCTCCGCCAGTGSCACCCTCTGAAGCCGCAGCTTGTCCCTGGTGCAATTCCCACAGCACATCAATCCCCGCACCTCGGCCCGGGGGACGTTTAATCCTGCCCTGCTCTCCCCTTTATTTTTGTTGTTTTTGTGGCAGGGAAATCCCGGCAAACCAGAGAAAACCCCTTGGGCTGGAGCTCTCCACAGCAGAGCATTTACGCCCTTTTCTCCCTTAAACCTAAAAGGCGAATCTACCAGCGAGGCTGAGCGTGAGGAGCCCGGGGAACGCCTTTGGAAACGCTCGGGAGCGCAATTCTCATCCGCTCATCGGTGTCAAACCATGGCTGCCAAAGGCGTGATCCGATCCGTAAAATGGGCTTTTTCTAAAAAGCGTTTTCTCACAACCAGCGATGGGGTGGAACCATCGCGATGCGGCAATCCATGGTGATGTGGCAATCCGTAACTCAGAGCCAAGAACAATATTGGATTCGCTCAGCTCMGTTAGACATATACACGCCAGCAAAAGCAGGTTTCAATAAACCCAGCCTCACCGAGGGACACTTCACCTCTAATTTCTTATATTTCCTTTTAATTCTATCTATTTACAGAAAACTGTACAGCCTGAATTCCACTGAGTGGTTTCCCCACGCAGAGAGCACGGGCCCTTTCTCAAGGCAAACATTCACCTTTCCATCCTGCAATGTTTTGCCTCTCTCAGTTAATTACATTCAAATAATGAAGAGACTGTAAAAACCTTTCCAGTGATAATTGCCTGTTATTTTTTCCTGTGGAACGCCTCAGGCTCATCCTGTAATTTATTAGCTCTCCTGCACACTTTCCCATTGCCTTAACTCAAATAATTCACTTGATTTTCAGATAATTGTCCAARTCTGGTATCCTTGTTGTAAAAAGGTTCGATTCCATGAGAGGTTTAACTTCTTCTCTGGAGACCACTGTCAGTAACAGAATTAAAAGAACGGGGCATCAGGTGGGGGGGAAGCAGAAGCATCTGGAGGAAATTTCTGCACCACTGGCCAGGCATTTGTGCTGCTAACACAGCTATTTCCCCCCAGATATACACGTTTCTTCATTTGCCTTAATCACAGGGTATAATCTCAATTTAGGACATAATAACCACAGCTTTGAACTTCCGTTTTGCAAAAGAACAGGGCATTAAAAAAAAAAAAAATTAAAAAAAAAAAGAAAAAGAAAGAAAGCATACATTTAATGAAAAAAATTATAAGGAGATGCTATTTAGAACTCAGTAGATTTTCGTGATAAGCAATCAAGTCAAGGATTTTTTTTTTTCTGGTGCTACACTAAATTCCAGACTAAGTTTAGCCCAGTCACTGAATTAAACAYGACGCCTCTTCAA